ATACGCCGGGCCTCACCAACCAGCATGAAATGAAGTTCGCTTTGAGTATAAAAGCTTTGATCAGCACCTGTGAATATCCAACGGTCTACAGATCACAGGACGATACTTGTGACATTTTATTTGGCCTCTATTCGCTTGCCATTCCTGATGTATATAATCTGTTTTGAAATAAAGGGGGAGATTGCGGGAATGAATGAAACACACTTATAATGCAGTAAACCAGTAGGGGTGGGTGGATGCGGGATGACGTAACCACCCAGCGATGGAAGGCACGCAATAAGAACAATCCTATGGGCTTCAAAAAGCCATGACAAACAGATTGGTGAAGTCATGCGATCAACTTGATGCCTGTCGATCATATAGCTCAGGGATGAGTTCTTTTGCTCACAAAGAAGTTTTTTATCATTGGAAGACAGGTAAGAATGCAAGAAGCATGCATCACTGGTGAGTTCCAACAGGAACAAAACGATGTTATCTTGGATTTTGAATCACACGCAAGTAGAATGTTGCTGGGATCGGTTGTTTGCTACTTTGATGAATAAAGTTTGGTCTATTACAACTATGGAAATGCTATTTCACATCGCCCATGAGCAGCCGATTTTCTTTCCAGTACGATTCCATTTGATTAAAATCCATTCTTGTTTAATTCCAAAATGTGAAACATTGCATATGATTATACGTTCTAGACATTTCAAAAAAGAAGTGCAGTAACTATTATAATGAATTTAAAGTTTGCATAAAACGATGTCTGCTTATATATGCAGTAGCATAAACTGAAGAAAAACTTAAACGGTCTCAACTGTGAAATAATATTTTGAAAAATAAAATAATAAAATAAAACAGGCGTTTCATTAATGGTTTAAACCACGCGTAGACACCATTCTTGGTTTTTTCGCAGTTAATTCCTTTCCCGATACCACGACAATAAAATCGCTTAACCATAGCAATAATGAATCCCGCCCGTTGTGCTAAAGATTCTTCGTCCAAATGACCTAGTGTTCTTGTACTGAAATTATGCAGATAAAATTTGTGTTAGGACACAGAATCGTTAGGTATAGAAATCCAGAACGTTGTTCCAAACTAAACACTAAAATTTATTGGTGTTTTGATGCCATTCAAGGCACAACCTTAATGGAAACGTAACGATTCACGGTTGTTTCAAAGACTAATTGACTTCACCTAGTTTCTGGATTTTCACTGAATCACGTTGTGCTGTGGGCAATAACCATTTCTACCTGTCCTTCCATCAATAGCTATATGCTCTCTCTGTCATATATATATATATATATATATATATATATATATTGTAATCACAATAAAATTCACTGAATAAAGCCACTTAACAATAACAAAGCATCGTTGGAACTGTGACTGAGTTAGTCAGCTGATTGCAGTACGCATGTAATCAATTAGTACCACGTTTATTCAGGCGCGAGGCATTGTTTCGATAACAACTGGCTTTCAAAGCAAATTGAACGACCCGCACAATTGATCACGTAGATACTTGCACAAGTTCAACTTCATTCGGGCGTAGTGGTGGTGGCTCTCACCCGCAGCCGGGACCGCACGCACGCGCGCACCCGAACACACACATACGCACGAACAGTCCCGCACGCATGCACATAAGCAAACACCTCACAGGGTCACAGATTGGAGTGTGATTTCAATCGAATAAGTACCGTCCTGTCTCTCATGTGCTTGTGTGTGACTAGCATTCTGACCTGTGTGTACTGGTTGCGCCAAGCCCAAAAGCACAAATGCAAGTCAACATGCCTCATTAGGCATGGCAATTGATGAAACGAACTGGAGATAGAAGACTGTCGGGGACACGCGTAAACATGGCTCAGTAATTTAGCTATTGGCATTCATGTGATATGTTGCTTCGAAATGATGCTCGATTGGGGGTGCGATGAAACAGTACAACGGGAAATACTCACTATGAGTGAGAATAGGATTAGAGAATTTTGTCCTGTTCTTAGCAGTCACCTTTACTTTGATCGGGACAAACAGGTTCCACCGGTGAATTAGGGATTATTTTCACTAATTTATGCAGTTCCTCGCTTCTAACAAATGCATTCAGAGATGCACTGCGAACCACTTTTAGTGCCTAAAACTTCATATTCCTAATCTATTTGGGGTGTTCACCTTGAAACGAGGACGAAACTTCAGGAAACAAGCGATGGATGCGCGAGATATATTTCGCTGTTGGTCAGTAACAGCATCTAATTACAGTGTGAAACGAAGGATTTTCGGGTATTCGCTTGGTTTTTCACTGGTAATACTTTGTTACCGACAATCTGCGAAACAGCCTTTGATTACATAAAGTTTGATAAGGTAAACCCGATCAGGGGGAAAGCTAATCCTTCGCAGACTTTTGAAACAGTGTAACAAATAAAAAAAGATGTAAATAAACAATCAATCAGTCAGGACGTATTTGATAAGAATCGCATACTGCAGCGCTGTCAAGATTGTAGAACATGGATGGGAAAAATTGAGTGCATCGTAGTCAAGTCATGGAATCGCTTCATACATTCACAAGAAGTGGATGTTCATAAACCAAATTACCCTAGTGTTAGGGAAATACAATACAACAATTAAAAAGCAAAACGGACGGTTACATCACAAAACCAATAGCAAACAAGGAGGTTTATCATTGGTTCATATTAGCATGTTGCGCACATTTCCTGCAACGATTTCATGGTTTGTGAGAAGTCTGGCGATATACGGTGCAACAGAGCGCCTGTAGGCCTCAGTGCATATCTTTATAGGTTTAAAAGGGGAACGGGTGGACGAGTAAGCAAAGCATTGGCTAGGATGAGAACAATCAGATAAAAACTTCTTTGAAAATATTTTCCCGGGCCTTGATGTGATGTGTCACCACAAGCTGTACCAGGTGTGCCCATGGTACACGACTGAATAGCGGCAGAAAGTTGAGGGAATGCAAAATGGGTTTGTGGTCCTTGTTAAAAAGATCGAGGGAGATGAGAGAGAACCCATAAAGCCAGTGGAGCAAAAAGACCAGCAAAGAAAACGCCTTATGAGGTGATTTCGGAAGAAAAATGATTTCGGATATACAACTTTCAACTTAAGCCTCCTGATCTTCAGAAAATTATCGTTTACGTGGTTGGATCAGGTTAGGTTACGGTTGAAAATAGCACCAAGGCATCTGTGAAATGGTTGTCGATCCATCCAAGCATTTACGATAAATAAAGTCTGGCTGGCAGGTACCAGTTCATCAAACGTTTGACCATTCAAAACGGAAAATACCCGTCATTGCATTTCTGAAAATTCGTACGAAGGTTCCGTTGTTGAGACCACTTCACTCTTTCTGATATGTCATCTTGTAGAGTAGTCTGAGATGGTGGGTTGAGGGGAGGCAGTCCGAGTATTAATTAGATCGTCGGCATGAGTAACAAAACGAGATTTGTTCATAGGCATAGATGAAATGTAAGCGGACAACAGAAAAAGAGATAAGGTAGCCCCTTGCAGTACGCCTTGTGAGGAGGACAGCAGTGAAGACATATAACCTTTGTAACGTGCTGACGGTTAGAGAAATAGTTGGCCGAGGGTTCCATCGTAAGAGGTTGAACTCCGTCTGAAGAGAGGGCATCCAGCAATACATCACTACCAATAGTGTTGGAGGCATCACTATAGTCCAGAAAACATATGTGTACAGCCTTGATTTTCTTATCAAAGTCGGATAAAACAAATTAGGAGAGAAAAGCAAGGGCTTCCAGGGTTCTTCTGGCATATAAACTGGTGTGAGTCACCAACATTGAGCTGTGTGGATATAATTTTATTCAGTAGCTTCTCAAACATCTGCAAAACAACCGAGATATGGACAAATGAATGAAATTTTGAGAGGCCTTTTTTGCCACTGGGGTGATTGAGGCTTATCTCCAGCAGTTGAGAATACTTTGCTGCGAATACAGTTGTTGAAAGGTTCACACAGTATGGGGCAAAGGAAGGCAGCACATTCCTTTCGAGCAAAAGGTGAGGTTCCATCAGGGATACTGGACTTGCAATAAATTAACAAAGCCAACTCTAAATAAATTTCGGCCGGGGCAACACCGGCAACAGGTCCGGCCATCTTCACATCACTTCTCTTAGGTAGAGCAGGGAAGGCAGTTCCGCTGCTGGTGGAACTCTCATTCAGACCCTCACAGCAATAGGTGGGTGACGTGAGGACCTGGTGTCAGAAATTCGTATGATGGCTTTCAGGGTTTCCTGACTCACTTTGTTGTCAAGTCGAGAAAGAGTGTACAAGGAGTTGAGCCTGCGTCTTTAATCCCTGATGGATTTAAAAAGGGTGCGCACCTCATTGCGCCTATGCATTTTGAAAGCACGTTCATTTCTACGACGAAGTTGTTTGAGGTGTGGGGAAGAGAATCGTTCGGGGCGGATATAAATTTTTTCTAAAAGAAGAAAAGTATAATTTGATCACATAGAATGCTACATACACATGTTCTCTGCAATTTTGTACTCTCTTAGTCCAAAACGTCTCTTATCAATCACCCTCCAAAAATCCGTATTGAGAAATCTAGTAACTGTGGCCAATAACATTTTTACTGTTTTCGATTCAGTTAGCAACTTCAAACTAAATCCTCATGTCATTTATTGAGTTTGTTCAATGAGAACTACTTAGTTGAACTGTGAAAAGTTCCGAAGTTTCTGCGGGATTCGAACACACACATGGACGCAGTCTGTCCAAACTGAACTATAAAATCACACCGATGGCACCTTTCATGTTTGAATTACTCACTCAGCGGACATAGACGTTTGGATCTCAGGCAGTTAAACAACAATAATTGGCCAGTTATTAAAATAGTTCTGTCACCGGGGTTAGAATAAGTAATACAATTATCTAGGGATTGAACTCAGTAAGTACGCAATAAACACAAAATAGTCATTTGGGATTACCTGATACGATAAGTGCAGTATATTGGTTGAGTATTCAGATGTGTTATCCATCCGTTACGGGTTCCAAAAATTGCCAATGTTTGATTGATTCAGGTCAAATTTATGGTGACTTACCGAGAGCTATAAAGTCCACAGACCAACCGTACAATTCACCATTGCAATTTGTAAGTTCTTTTCAGTCTCTGAAATGTTTTACAACAGGAATCAGACAGTGCCAGACAGTCATGTGCGTTATCTTATTTGCAAAGCAAGCATATAGCTCACGAGTAAGGATTTCGGCTCACAATTCTAAGGTTCACAGTTCGAGCTTCATCAGCAATGAAAAAAAGGGTGAGAACTTATGAGGGGCACCCGAAAACCTGAATCAGCAATTCACTGATCTTTGTTAACATTTAAATAAATTTATCACAAGCTGGAGTGTGTATAAACTCCCTAGGAGTAAACTCACACAACACCCGAGATATGCAGAGAAAATTAGCCCTAGGAAATCCGGTAATATAAAACAAAAATAACTGTAAGCCACATCAGAACTCACAAGGGCGTTTAGTGAACAATTTGAGGAGGATGTCTTTACGGTTGGTCCATGTGTAACATGTGCGTGATGAAAATATAACACCAGTACATTTTGAAGATTTAACATGCATCATGATAACCTAAAACCAACAGGAATGTCGCACGGTATCCCAATGGGGTTTACAGGGTCACAGGCGCACTGAGATGTGGCACTATCTACATGATTATGCGACCTGGAATGCAATGGGACTAAAAAAGCGATGAAAGACGAACATGTCAAAACAAGGATGAAAATGGAACATTATCAACAATCAGGCAATGTGCGACCGAGCGAGCTAGGGGGAGAGACAAAATTGACCGCGGAGGAGTTGTCTTCTGTATCGCAACCGCACTATTTTTACCGTTAGTGTTTCCAATAAAATGTCAAATGACTAAATTAGTATTTTATTTACATTTCTTAGATCACGGTGATTTGAAACAGGAGCAACACGTATCCGCACCGCAAGTTATTCATACCGGATTTGGACCCGCATTGAATGTAAAACCGGGAGATCCGTTTGAGCTGACTTGCCACGTTTCCGGCTTCCCCAAACCGTCCTTCTGTTGGATTAAGGATCGACAGGCTGCTGTAATATCTTCATTGAACGATATCGAGGTTTGTGTATGAGGCGGAGTTCTCTGCAAATAATTACTCTTCTGTAAAACAAAATTTAGAACAATTCTAGGGATGATTTTATCGATGCCATTGTAGAGGTTTAATTCTTTTATCAGAGGTGGAATCGTTATGGTGCAGAAAGGCTTTATTCAGGCAAACATTTTCACAAATTTGGTTTCAATCGTTATAATTTTAAACTTCAAACTGTCCGCCGATAGGCTAAGTGACTAAATAATTTAGAATTCTTACTGAGAGTAAGAGAAATCGAAATTACATTAAACTCAAGATAAATCACCGTAAAAAGCGATCCGTTCACGTTTGCTATTGTATTCCTTTGTTTTCCTTTACTATAGAGCCAAATGTTGAAACAAACAAGGGGTTGTGGTAGTCAAATGGTCGTTTAAGGTCACTAGCTTATCGCTCCTGGAGGTCGTATTTTCCACCCCGTACCACCCGTGTCTTTGAGTTGCACCGCAGATAATTAATTGCCCCATTTCACGATTGACTCTTGCAATTAGGCATAGTGTGAAAAAGTGATTAAAAGAAGAAGGAAAAGAAAGGATTTATGATTTATAATATTATCATAAGCATACAATGTGCATCGACAAAGTAGACCAATGTTATCAATGAACTGGTGTTTCCGAGTGTGACGCTCTATGCTTCACGGGTCAAATCCAACGGCTGTCCAAGATTGCTGCTACCCGCTGAAGACGGCTGAGGCTAATATATGATCATTCATGATGATGTTCTATTCCCTACTCTCCTCTCGTTGAATCCAAGGTCTGAAATAAGTGGCTTGAGCCGAGGTGTATATTTCATGGTAAAATATACAAATAAGTCTATCCTAATTGTTGTTAATTATATTAAAATTATTATGTTTTCTAGAAACAGGGAATTCAATTAATCAGTTAGCTTAGCTTGTAGTGAGTAATTTTGACTTTCGTCAATTACTGGTCAAAACGTATCGCTTTATTTCCACTAGGTCTCCGGCTTAGATTCCATTTATCAGCTGGCAGTCAGGGAAGCCAACTCAAGTCACTCCGGTGAATGGACTCTAGTCTGTTACAATGCATATGGAGCAGTCGCTCAGTCTTCGACAGTTACCTTATTTGATGCTGGCGTTCCATATCACGGGGGCGTTGAAGCGTTAGGATCGGAACTTGTGGCTGGAGTTGAGAAATCCACTACCGATTTGCCCCCGCCACCGTCACAAAGAGAACTGGACGGGAATTTATACACACAAATCACTGATCTATCTCAGGATGGTTCCAAAGCGCGTCAATCTCCATCTAGTATGATGGAGCCTCCGGAATTCAAAAGTGTATTCACCGACGCCGCCTGCCGAATCGGGGACACGGTGCGGTTACAAAGTCTTATCACAGGCTGTCCGACTCCTGCGGTAAGTACCTAGTTCATAAGATGTCCCGATATATTTTAAGGCTAACCCTTGAATCGGGTCAGTGCAACCTGTTTCCACATTGAACAACTCTAGAGAGCCAAACAGATAACCTAATTTTCGAAATATTTGGACAGTACTAAGTGCTAAGCAAAGCACCGAAATAGTCGTATGCAAAGCTAAACTATAATAGTTGCCCTCAAGAAAATCCATCAGGATGAATATGCATTCTTGAAAAGTTGCGTTTACATTTCGAAGTTCTTCTACTACGTATGATTGAAAATGACTGTGCAAGATTAACTCAAGTGAAACACCAGGGCTTGCGTTCAGAATGCTGTTTTAATTCCACCACGTACCGATGATTGTTGTATCAGTTAAACGCATTGCAGGGCTGCCTTATTGTATTTCATTTGGAAATTGGTGAGCGCACGCGAGGGGAGATTGCATAGGTGAATGAATACGGCCACGGCCGTGACTATAATGCGGCATATGATTGCTGTTGAGTACCCGGCTAGAATGATATAAAGTGCTTTTACCGTTTCCACTGAGAGAGAGCGTTGTTGAAATCCACAGGAGGCTCACAATTATCTTTAAATTTTCCAGATGTTCACCCGAACCAAGTCAGGTTTACGAACACACTCGAACAAGCATCTGACCAAGCGGCCAATGTATCTAGTCCCATAAAAATAAATAAATGTCTTCACGAAATGAGACAGTGAATTCTGTTCGTCGGTCAAAAACGAACAGTTGGCTTGAAGATGCATCTGATTTTTAGTAGTGTCAAGTAGAATGTCCGTTCCACGCTGTTTTTCCATACACTGATATGTGAACGTAACCATCACCCCGGAGACACATTAATGAGTCTGAATATTCTGAACCATCCTCCTTTTGTACTTCCATCTCGTTCTGCTGGACGGTATAAAAAAATCTATCTAACGATATGTGTTCTTATATACGCCTACCACACTTGCGTCGTTGTTGATCTGTGGTATGCATAAAGCATATTGCCTGTTTTAGGAATCCAGTCAATCTTTTTGCAGCATAAAGAAGACCCAAGTGTGATTCTATTGGGATCTCCCTTACAACGACATATTCGACTATTAGGAGCACATATACATAGCTGTTCTCAGTCATCGAACAATTTACCAAAATTGATGTTGTTCTTCTACATGTATTCGTAGAGATAACCAATGATCTAACTGAGTTGGATGTTTGTGAACAGGAATATCCTATGCAGCGACATCGACTGCCTTCCATGAAACTGAGATTGCTCACGGTCTTTGTCTCGTAGACTGTCCGTATATAAAGTTCATCTGTGGATCCGGTAAGCAGGCTGACCATTCTCCTACCGCATGACACGGAGGGTTACACAAAACCCAAATCGGTATCACGATAATAATTTTCCAGTGTACTTTTGGTAGGCGGCCTAACCTGTGAGTGGTGGTACCTAAAGATCGTATTAGCCTTAAAATAAGGGTGTCGATTGTTCTATTTTTCTTCTAGTTCATAATTTAGTGGAAACCACTTTTCTTTTGGAATCTTCTTATCATTTTCAGTCCATTTCTTTGCTGATCCCACAGATTTAAATATCCTGGATCCCTGTAATACACATTGATGATCGTGAGGTCTTTCGGATTGGGTGTAATAATGCAGCCTGATTGGTTACTCTCATGCATAAACACACTTGCCAGCAAAGCACAGGGACGTGCGCTGGAGATGGGGGTAGACTACTTAGTGCACAACTAGCAACGTAGTTCTGGCAACTAAAAGTTTGTTCCTTTTTGATTGTACTCATATTCGTACGAGGAGGAATATGTAAACAGTTTCTGATTACTTTCAACATGCCTAGATCCGCGTTGTCCGTTCAAGGATTTTATTGCAAAACCTACATGAGAACACCTTCGTCTTCGATGCTTAAGTGTCTAATTATGTCTATGTGACTCAAGAGAAATGAACACAAAAGAGAATTATACTACCAGCTTAAGAAATCCCTTATTCTCAACTTGTGGTCATTCTACAATCACCTCAGACTAAATAACCTAAGTAAATGTGAGGTACAGGGGGAGAAGTGATTGAATGCTATCCGTACAGTCATCGGTTTTGTGTGCTGTCTGAAAGCATTTGATAAAGTTGCCAAATTATCGAAAAATATTGCCGAATAAACCGATAAGAATTCTGTCGTCAACGATTTGCCCCTTTTAGAGGGACAGTCCCTTAATGCTACTGGGAACTGTGCGGCATTACAAATTCCATGAAAATTTACTTCTGCTATGATATCGTTTGCTATCCTTGGGATCTATAGTTCGAATAGTTCATTTCAAAAAGATTAATCAATTAGAGATTATTGTTACTGTCATTGAAAAAGCATCCGAATTGTTTTGTTCTCGCATGTGAGCGATTCATCAGTCGTGGCACCCACAACTCCGAGATGAACGAAAAAGGTTTAAAAATTCCTCCAATTTTTGCTATAATTAGTATACACCTTGCTAACTGATAGAATCCGGTTTGCTTAATATCACAATCATCGACCAGCACTGTTGAGGCTGAACTAATGCCACTTCCTGTATCTCTCAATAAACCAGGTGACAGCCAGTGTCATTTAGATGCACTGAGTTTCTATTAATTGTATTATTGTATTTCAGTTCCATGTTTTAGAATGCAATCACATGGGATTGACATTTTCTTGTTCCACTCATTCTCCTACATTATGCCATCAACTTGAAAAACATGAATTCGTACGTATTTAACGACTGCTGAAACATTTCTCTCGCAATTTACGTTATTCGTATTGTAGTGAAAATAGGTATTCGTGCTGTCCACCAACGAAACCTAGATCGATTGATCTTCGCTCAGTTTCTAATGGGAATGTGTGATTTAATAATGTGAAATTTGATTGAAATTAGTCCGGTTAGATGGTCACACACAAGTCTGAATACTTTCATTTATACCGGGATCTATTGTTATTTGACCGGTTGGTTATGCACTATTTGAGGTTTGACAATCACGTGGCACTTTGTGTTATGGGCATAGTTCTCATAAGTCACGTGAAGAATGATTAACGGGAACGAATATTGGAATTGTATAGACCTGAGAAAGTGACGTGTACTTGTGCGAACTGATCATACATTGACCTTGAAATTGAATCGAGCTGTTCACCGTGGCGCATATTTTCCATTTTCGCAAAACAACTTTCGAATGTTCCACAATGTACTCACGATAGCTTTTGCCAGTTTTTAATGGAAAGAAACCCTAGATCATGAGTCGAACTGAAACAGGTACTTTTGCTAATTTATTAGAGCACCGGTTTTCAAGTGAAAATAATGGGTTAGACATTTTCTGAGGATTGTTTTGTGCATAGTTTATGGTGAAGAAGATAATGACCAATCACTTGGGACTGTTATTGAGTCAATAGATTATTCTGAAGGTTTTAATTCTTTTACATTGTACTTCATATAAATTATTTATACAAATTCACCAATGATTCATTGTGAGTATTTGTTCCAAAAGATCTGTCTTGTTCCCTATTTGAGGTGAAGGGATATAAGCGTGTACAACAATATATCGATAACTTTATCTGGCCACTAGAAGGTTATAAAAGAATCTTAGCGAACTAAACATACGACAAAAGCTGAGAAAGAACTAGATATCAGGACAACGAAATGCAATGAAAGTGGCTTTCAAAAATTAGTTGGATGGGACGAAAATATTTAATCAATTAATTGTTTAGATTGCCAATGTGAGTCAGGGAAAGAAGACCAGTTCTGACTATTGAGGAAGTAGAATGCGAAGAATTAACTAAAAATAGCAGAATTACACGTGATATAAGCATAAGGGCAGAAGCGAAACCTGACCATATCACAAGTACCGAAGATATCACCTGCTGGGGTATTGACAACGATGAAACATTTGAAAATAAATAACCAAACCCAATAAATAGACTGAAATGACTTCCGCTAGCTCTGTTTACATCGGATCTACAACAGAAGCCTGTGAAGCCAATCCATCACACCATTTCAAAGTCCCTCATTGATTCAGGTCTTTGAGGGTTTATCGAATGAAATTTGAACTGATTTAAGTATGACAATAAAATCCAATAGGCGAAACAAGCTGTGTTTCGATAAATTCATCAACTGACCATTTGAATTTATATAGGTGAAGCATTCAATATTGTTTGATTCGGTGCGAAGTAGATCTTATTATCCTGTGTACAAAGTGATCCTACATGCGTCAGCAATTTGGTTGGGCTTACCCTTGGTTACGATGTTCTTCCAGTTACCACTCTCAGAATCAGCTTGTGGCTTGGTGGCTGTCCATGGTAGAGATAATGCCTGAACGAAACAAATTTGTTTCCATAGTAGGCGGGGGAGGTCAAACAGTTATATCGCAATGGTTCCAGCCATGTACCAGAAGAATAAAGCATACTGATTTGAATGATAACGGTGGAATGCGATAAACGAATCCGAGCGCTCGACTTACGTCCACTTGGTGATTCCTTTCTAGTAAATGTTTGTAAATCACGCTTTTGTCTTTCTTCGTTTCTCCACGGGTATGTTAGCTTAAGAAAGACGGGGAGGTGTTATCGTCCTTGAACCTACAAACACATTGAGTAAAACAATTATTTCGTTCGTGGTAAAGAACACATGTAAAAAATCACCCGACTTCCTTGTCAGTCACTCTCAAAGTAAATCTGTACCGCCGTAGTTGGCTAAGAAAGATTTCATCAAAGGCAATAATAAATTATTTGCACTCACCGAATCAATTCGTATAGCTCTCTT